ATCCCACACACACACACACACACACACACACACACACACACACTATTAAATACATGATACATTTTATGTTAGAGGTACTGGTGAAATTGGTCCAGCTTTTCTTCATTGTTCTCTCTTCACATGAATACATGGGTTTGTTTTTGTAGTTGTATGATTACATGTAGCTCATACATTTTTAAAAAGAATTTAGAACCCTTCTTTTGAGACATTGTTTCTTTTTATTTAGAAACAGTCATTTTATATATCAATCCCTGCCCCATTCCCTCTCCCTCCCATCCTCCCATGCCCCCCACCAACCCCCTGAACCCACCCCCCACCCGATCCCCAAGGACAGGGGGGCCTTCCACAGGGGACCATCAAAGTCTGTCACATCATTTGGGGGGAGGGTCTAGGCCCTCCGTGTATCTGGGTTGAAATAGTATCCCTCCATAGGGAATGGACTCCCAAAGTCCATTTGTGTGCTAGGGATAAGTACTGCTTCCACTGTTAGAGGACCTATAGACTGCCCAGGCCTCCTAACTGGCTCCCACATTCAGAGGGTTTGGTTCAGTCCAGTGCTGGTTCCCTAGCTTTATGAGTGGAGTCTGTGAGCTCCCACTAGGTCAGGTCAGCTGGTTCTGTAGGTTTCTCCAGCAAGGTCTTGCCTGCTTTGCTCATCCCTCCTCCCTCTCTACAACTGGATTCCAGGAGTGGGGAATTCCAGTGCTTAGTGTGGGTGTCAGCTTCTGCTTCCATCAGCTACTGGATGAAGGCTCTAGGATGGCATTTAGGGTAGACATCATTCTCATTATTGGGAAGGGCATTTAAGGTATGATCTGTACTATTGCTTAGGTTCCTAGTTGGGGTCATCCTTGTGGATCTCTGTACAATTCCCTAGTGCCAGATTTCTCTTTAAACCTACAGTGGCTCCTCTGTTGATGTCTCTTTCCTTGCTCTCCTCTGTTCCTCTCCCCACTCAATATTCCTGATCCCTCATGTTCTCTTTTGCCCTCCTCTTTCTCCTCCCTCCCTCTTTCCTCCCCCCATGCTCCCAATTTGTCCAGAGGTTCTCGTCTTTTCCGCTTTACTGGGGGATCATGTATGCTGAGACATTGTTTCATGTAGCCCAGGCTACCCTGGAACCCCTTGAGCTCACTGTAGCCAGGGATCACCCTGAACTCCTCATCCTTTTGCTTCTGTCTTTTAGTTCCGGGATCACAGGCAGCATTTGGTGGCCTGGTTTATGTGGTGCTGGGGTGGACCCAGGGCTCTGTGCTGGGCAGGCATGCCAGCAAATGAGCCCCAGCCCCAATAATTCATAAGAATTAAGCCACATGGGCTGGAGAGATGCCTCGGTACTTAAGAGAACTTGCTATTCTTGCAAAGGACATAGGTTGGGTCCCAGCACCCAGGTGGCTTATAATAGTCTGTAACAAGCAGTGGGCCTCCTGATGTGGGTGCTGGGAGTCGAACTCAGGCCCTCCAGAATGGCACACACCCTTAAGCGCTGAGCCATGGTGTCTCCAGCCCTTCTGTGCTAGCATGCTAAACCTGCCAGCTAGCACCTGCTGCGTCATCAGGCAGCTCCTATTACACACCTGCCATCCCAGCACTGGGGTGGTAGAGGCAGGAGGATCATCCTTGGATGCATAGTGAGTTTGAGGCCAGCCAGGGTTGCATATGACCCTACCCCCCCAAGAAAACTAGAAACATACAGGAACTCACTGATGCGCTTTCCAGGGATGGATGTCTGCTTGACTCCGTGATGTTTTACACTTTCCGTGAATGGGCGTCTGCACGGCGACTCCATGATGCTTTGCCTTGCCCTCGTGGGAAGTGCCTGTTTTTTTTGTTTTTTGTTTTTTGTTTTGGAAGTGCCTGTTTGTGAGTTACTCAGAAAACTCCAGTGTTGGCCCGCTTTCCCAGTGCTGGGATGACAGGCATGCGCCACCATGCCAAGCCACTGGCTGAATTTCTACTGAGGGGTGACTGTCGGCATAGTGGAAAGGGCCCGTGTTGTTGCTCTTATAAAGATGGTTGCAGCCTCATGACCCTGCAGGCCTCTGACAGCCCTGCAAGCTGTGGGTGTGCGGTGCTTGAGAACTTCGGTTCTGTCTGGTGTATTCCCCCCATCACGGTTAGCGTCAGGACCACAGCCTCCTTGTTGGGAAGCTCAGGCGCTCTGAAACCCAGCGCGGTGACTGAGTGTGGCTGTGGACATGCCTGGCACCTTCCCCCCCCCCTCCTCTCCCACAGAGCAGTGAGTCTGTCACCCTGGACCTGCTCACCTATACAGACCTGGAGTCCCTGCGGAGCCGCAAGCTGGGGGGCCGCCCCGGCTCCTTGGCCCCCAGGTCGGCACAGCTCAACTCCAAGCGCTACCTCATCCTCATCTATTCCGTGGAGTTTGACAGGTGGGCACAGTGGCTGGCTGAGGGCCCAGGCCAGTGGGCAGGGTGGGAGGAGCCCCCAGTGCCAGGTGGCCGAGATGCATTTGCCTCACCTGCAGGATCTGTGGACTCTGTCGTTTTGCTGTTGTGACTGGTTACAAGCGGCTGAAGGATCATTGCTAGCATCTGTCTGTCACTGAGCTACATCTCCAAGTGCTTTAGACATAATGGCTTATCACATAGCCAGACACCAAACAGACCTCCCTGTTTAGTCCTTTGTGTATTTGCTTGCCTTTTTTTTTTTTTTTTTTTTTTCTGAGACAGGGTTTCTTTATAGCTCTGGAGCCTGTCTTGGAACTCACTATGTAGACCAGACTGGCTGCAAACTCAGAGATCCGCCTGCCTCTGCCTCTGCCTCTGCCTCTGCCTCCCAAGTGCTGGGATTTTTTTTTCTTTCTTTTCTTCTTCTTCTTCTTCTTCTTCTTCTTCTTCTTCTTCTTCTTCTTCTTCTTTTTTTTTTTTTTGAGAGGCTGTCTCTCTGTTTAGCCCCGACTGACTGTCCTGGAGCTCACTATGTAGCTCAGGCTGGCCCTGAACTCAGAGAAATCTGCCTGTCTCTGTCTCCCGAGTGCTGGGATTAAAGGTGTGACTTTGTAGCCCAGGCTGGGTTAGAACTCACAGTGTATGGACTTGAACTAATGTCTTTCCTCCAGCCTCAGCTTCTCAAGGGTTGAGGTTGCAAGTGTGCATCACCTTGGCTGGCTTTTAAGTGGTTGTTTTTTGGTTTTGAGATACGGTCTTTTGTAGCCTTGATTTATTTAGAATTCATAATGTAGCCCAGACTGGCCTTGGTGGGAATCCTCCTGCCTCAGCCTCCCAAGTACTGGGATTACCAGCTTGTCCCACCACACCTGGCTAAGGGATATTCTTTCTTTTTGTGTACATGTGTGGGTTTTTTTTTATTTTTAAAATCTTTGTATGTTTAATATGTTGCCAGCTGCCCCCTTTAAATCCTACCCTTATCTCTTCATGGTCACAGAATAGCTGTTGGACCTCTAGGTATTGCATCTTTATCAAAACAGGAAGGAAAGGAACGGGGCTCAACAGATTTCCCATATGATTGGTTAGAAGTGCTTGTGTGCTGGGAACTGAAGCCCAGTCCTCTGTAAGAGCAGCTAGTGCTCTTAACTGCTGAGTCATCTCTCCAGCCCCTTCCCTTTAGTCTTTAACTTTTAATTTTTCTTATTTGAGTTGTTTAAATTTATTTAACTTTTATTTTATGTGCATTGGTGTCAGATCCCCCGGAACAGTTGTGAGCTGCTATGTGGTCTTCTGGAAGAGCAGTCGGTGCTCTTAACTGCTGGGCCATCTCTCCAGCCCTGCCCCCCCCCCCCTTTAAATTTTTTTTTTAATTTTTGTTTTATGCGTATGGGTGTTTTGCTTGTAGTGCCTGCAGAGGCCAGAAGAGGGCCTCTGGGATCCCCTGGTACTGGAAGTACAGTTGCGGGTTGTGGGAATTGAACCTGGGTCCTCTGCAACATCAAGTTGAGCCATCTCCAGTCACTCTCTGTCCTTTTTTTAAATTTTATTTTATTTGTTTATTTTGTTTTTTCAAGACAGGGTTTCTCTGTGTAGCCCTGCTGCCCTGGAACTCACTCTGTAGATCCGCCTTCCTCTACCTCCCTGGCATTGGGATTACAGGCTGGAGCCACCACACCTGGCCAGGAATGGCTCTTGAGTAGCTGGGCAACAGGGCTCTGTCTGTCGTGGTGTCTGGGGTATCGGGTGGGAAGTTAGCAATCCCAGAGGAACTGTGTGTGGTGGGGCAGCACCTGAAGGCATCCTGTAATGGCCCCAGCTCAGGGCTGACTCAGCTCAGGGTAGAGTCTGGGTCGGGTTGTGTTTAAAGACGGAACTTCCTGCAGAGGTTACATGACAGTCAGTTGACACTGCAGGGGTCCTGTCAAGCCCAGAGTCTTTGGAATCATCGTGGAGGCAGAAGCTCAGAGGGGCTTGGGCAAGACTGACTGGCACGGTAGTTTGTGGACAAAGAACTTAGAACCAACTGCTCTCCCAGCATTTGGGCGACAGAGGCAGGGGGGTG